GTAAATGAAATAGTTCTATCATACACTTTTTTTGAGGCTAAAGAAGGCATGAAGTTACCAGTACCAGTATATGCAAAACAGTGATAGACTTTGGATGTGACATGTAGTTTTGTGAAGTAGTGCAATGTTAAGTTTTAATAATTATGAAGTAAATATCGTTTTGATATAATGAGAATTTTATTTAGAGATGACTGTGGTATGTCATTTAATACTAATGCATTATGATAGCCCAATAGTTTGCACTGCGGAATAAGGAAGCCCCAGTTTCGATTTCCAATGGTATCAATTTAAGAAAGGATTTTTTTTAGATTGTTCTTGTCTGCGTGTAATGAGTATTGCCCCGGAATGTAATTCGTTGCTTTAGTACTTATAGTACAAGAAATTCCCTTGTTTAAGAACAGGTATGGTATGGTATATTGAGACCAGGGGCACAATTGTTACTATTCGAAACCACTGGTCATTCCTTTGAGACTCCTTTGAGCCACTAGGCTTGTTCCAGTGTTAGTTTTATAAGATTAATATAAAAATTATGACGATCATCGCCAGTGTCACTTTATTCATAAAATCTAGTTGCAATGGCAGTTGAGTCCCAATAGAATATCAGTTGAATGTTCCTTTATTTATGTTACTTTATTTTTTTCCATCCGGCATTAATTTTTATGCATTGTAGTCCGCCGCGTAATGCAGAATTATGAATGTAGTCGCAGCGTGCCAGCCATCCTGTAATCCTGTAATGCGTCCTGCGATAGATTTAGTATATATGTACCCATATGTGATCGATGTTGCCTATTAAAACTGCCATAACAATTACTATGCAAATCTTCATTCATCTTCGCTTAATTAAAAATTTAGTTTTCAAATCCAAGTTTTATTTGTGTCAAATAGTTAGGAGTAGACTGGACTATGCCATCGACTTGTCACAAAGCGGCTATTAAAGAGCACATTACCAAAAAAATTACAATGGCAGTCGAATAGCAGCTCGAAGGCTTGCCACTGACAAAGACAAGCTACTCTTAACGTTTAGCAGAATACCAAACGTATTGTACAAAGCCCTGTCTATATCGCCACACAACTGAGGTTATTTGAAATTAGCAGACTCGGTGCCCAGTTAATTGATATGGCTGTCTAATTCATAGCAATACATAGGCATAGCGTGTGAATCTACATTATTTTGGTGTGCATGCTCCATCGTCGACTACATCGTCACTTTGCATCTGGACCCTGGGGGTCTACTCTTTCTCTGTCCGAAAAAATAACTGTCAAATAAGTAATACTCGATCAAATTAAAAGACGCATGATGCGAATGAAGCTTCATACTTGACGTCTTTTAATTTGGTCGAATATTACTTATTTGACAATTATTTTTTCGGACGGAGGATGAGAGTAGAACCCCTGACTCAGAACTCTTCGACATTTTAAACACATCATTCGATTAGATTACGTTTCTCGAATCGAAGGACGCTTTTTTTTTTTTTTTGTTCTGTTCGTTTCAGAGCTATTCAGTTAAACGTTTGATTCGGATTCTTATCGTTATCCAACAGCGTTTACGGAGTTCGTCGGTGAAATAGTTTATAAGAAAAATTAAACTCCTTTTGTATACATTTTTAACACTTTAACGGCCTAAAATATTAGAATGCATTAGTCTTGAATTAAAGTAAATTAATAAAATTGAACAAAATCCAGACTTTATTCAAAATAAGAGATTTCCATATTAATTCTTGCTTCGTAAACTGTGTTCTGAATAACGTTTGAAGCCTTTGCCGGTCGAGAAGTTCGAGTCATCGTATGGGAGTGACGTCATTTCGGTTCGGTTTCGAATACGACAGTTTGACGTTTGAGTGTTTTGAATAAAAACGAAAAGAAATTGTACTACGATATCAAATCGAATCGGTCGACAACTGAGTTATCGTAAGGTTCTGAATCGGTCCCCAGGTGAGATGGAAGGCAAATGCACTTATTTTTTAAATAAAAAAAATGCTACTAAAAATTAAACAAGTCACTATTTTTTTTCGTTCTTTATATTTTATACAGATGTACACTTGAGGATAAAATCCTAGTTTGGGACACATATTAACATTTTTAAACAAACACAATGCCACTAAGCTGTAAGTCCGGTTCTTGTAATAATTATCACCCAGAAATGGCTAAATTATTGTTTTAAAATATGCCTAATTATCGATCTGACCTATGCAAAACTCGAATAGAATACCGGTCACCATAAAGTCTTGTCCATAACTATTATTAATCCAAATCTAAAAATGATTTTGGATAATATCCATTCAATAGTACGTCAAAACAACAAGTTACAATTCCATAGACAAAATAAATAATGGTGATCCGTTTGTGTACAACTTTGGTGGGCGATTTTGTACGTATGCCATTTTATTTGATTGCCCATTTAGTAGAGACGTGTCGTTACGGCAATCATAGCTAATGTTGTAATTTACAGATACCTTCATTTTAGGGTGTACATATTTTAGCACACTTTTTTATTATACACGGCGTGTGTGTTTATTTAATAATAATATTTTTTTACTATAATTTAGCGCATTAATTATCTATTAAAAAACAGCTTCCCTTGCAAAGGCTTTGCCATATTAATCGTCAGACGATATGACAGAACTGTAAATCTTTTTAAACACAATATACGTGCTCCAATAACACAACCAAATAAATTTCTGATATGTTTGAAATAGTTCTTGTTGGTTTGATGTTGACAATATAAGAATGATAATCTTTAAATGGACATGTGTAACAGAATGTTGAGCTCTGGTAGCCGTAACGCAAAGTCAATCGTCTCTTGAGTGTTACAAATACAGTTACGAAGACTTTATAGCAGCAGTGACGGGGTAACCTCGGCGAATACCCATGCACTGGTCCCGGTCGATGAAGAGCGTAGTGGTCTTGGCCCGGAGGTCCGCTTCGAGACCAGCTCTCACACCCAGAAGGGTCTGGTGCGTCCCCTCCGCCGTCGCGATCTTGGACCGCAGAAGCTCCATTGCCGCTTGGAGGTCGCAGCATTCTTTTACCATCCTGCAAAATTACGTGACTCACAAATATTCACGATTAATTGAAATGTGACGTTGGTCTTCATACCTACCTGAACCCTGGACGATCTCATTTAACAAATCAGTGTGGTGTCGTACTAAATGGTCCAACACCTGTCTGATTATTTTTTCCCTCGTCTTTCTAGTTAGGATTCGAGCGGAAAGTTTGGAAAAATCTGATCCAAAATAAAATGGAGAAACGGAAAGAAATGCAATGTCAACGAATATTATCACCTGTCCTGTGCTTGGTCGCGGCACTTCTCGAGATGCGGCCGGTTGGTCCTGGCCTGCAGCCTGGTGTGAGCCACCTTTATGGGCTGCAACTTGTCCTCGATCGCCTTGTTCAACAGCTCCAGCGTCTTCTCGACGTCGAATATTTCCTGCTGGACCTGAAACCGGGGTTCGAGTGAAACGCAGCCTCGAGACCCGAGCGAGGCGGTCGCCGCGCGGAATCACCTTGTACAGATGCAGCTGCAGCTTGTTCTTGATCTCGATGGTCTCGGCGACGCGGCGCGTGAAGGCGCCGTTCGTGTTGCTCCATTGGTCCCAGATCTCCGTGGCCGCCGTGTTGATGAGGTTGTCCGTGTCTGCGGCGGCGAGGGGGTGAGTGCGGGGGGCGGAGAGGCGGAGCCGGGGCGCTGGACTTACCCGACAGCATCTGCACGGCCTTGGCGCGCTCGGACTGCGAGCGCTGCAGCGTGGCGGCGCTGGCCGCGGCCCAGCGCTCCGTGTCGCACACCGTGGGGTCGTACCGCTCGATGCCCGCGTAGAACTGCAGCCCCTGCACAGCGAACGCGTCCGTGGGAGCCGCCGCGGCCGGCCCTCGCTCGCCGCCTACGCACCTTGGAGAAGTTGTTGAGCTGGTGGCACATGGAGTCGATGCCCAGCGCGTACTCCTTGTTGCGCATGTCCGTCTCCAGCTCGTGCTGCGTGGCGCGGCAATTCTTCGACTGCGCGCGCACCTGGGGGCGGTCGCGAGTCGCTAGCTGTTCTTCGTCACGCTCCGGACGTTCCGTTCCTCGCTTTCTTTGGAACGTGATAGTTACCTTTTCCAGCATCACCTTGAATCTCTCCTGAGCGTCTCGCAGAGTAGCCACCTCCTTCAGCAACGACTGCTCCACGGCGTCGTGCACTTGCTCCAAACCTACAGAAAACCTAGTTGAAACGGTAACCGTAACCAAATTCGGCTTATGAAAAGGGATACGACCGAGAGGCGTCGTTGTTGTTGAGGCAGCAAGAGAATTTCGAAAGATTCATTTGAGAAAACATTCTTGCAGTAAAAACGTTTTCTGCATAAAATACAGAAAAAATATATGACTCCTGCACCGACCTTGTCTTTTCTCCCTGTGGTACAAGCATTCCTGTACAATATGCAAAGGCCCTTCGATGCCTGCGATGGCTCGCTCCAGTTGCCGCCGAGTGTCGTTCAGCTTCTCGCACGTAGCCACCAAACGTTCCATTTCGATAGCCACCTAGCCAATTAACGCAATATTCCATCAACAATTTCGGTTATAATTTCAATTAACTCGCTGAACATGGCACTAATCGCCTATCCAAATAATAAATATCTGGACTTAAAACTTGGCAAGAGACGCTAGAGTTCCAACGTAAAATCGTGAAATTGGAATCAACACCAGCAGTCGAAAAAAATTAAAGAATGATTTGGGATGTGTAATAATTAAAGGGCTTACCTCATTCCGCCAGAAGGTGGTATCAGTGATTCGTTCACCGATCTTCCTTCCCGAGTCACGCTGACCCTGAGCTCCAATTTCATCAGTTTCTCTAAAAACGTCATCGATTCCACAACATTACGTAATAGGCCATTTTATATTAGTGCAAAACAATAAATAAATAAATAAATCTTTAAAAAATCCACAGGGCAAGAGTAAACATGCCTTTAGGTTACTCTTCTGTCTTATATCTCGATTTAATACGTACGTCAATGCGAGGTAATATGTAAGCAAAATGCATACCTATTTAACTAAATTGTCATGCTGCTAACACCCCATACAAAACTCGATCATCAATGTTTATGGGGGATTTTGGTAATTTGTAACCAAAAAACAAAGAAAACCCAGGTGAATTCACCATGACAAGTTTATTCTCAAAATCTCACCTCATTGTTCTCATGATATCATTCCTGACTCGTTCTGAGAAGTTTCTTTTCGCGTCAGACTCGTTGTAATTTTTGATGCTATTCTGGTTCCACTCGTACTGGGTGTATCTGGTGTAGAGGGCTGCTCTGGCAGCGTGTTCGGGACTTCGATCGAAACCAGTCACGAGGTTCGGGAACCGCAAAGGCTCGGCTGACATGCCTTCAGGGGTATAACAGGGATCCACCATTGTGTTCGTTATGGGTTGTGATGGCCTATTACAGAAAGACTCGGTATATTAAATTCTGAATCGCACAGGTTAATAGCGGAATCAAGCATCTCACTCCTAAGGACTTCAGAAAAAGGATTTTACAGTAGGTTAGGTTAGGTTCTCTACGTTGGCTCATTGTGGCTTGAAGACGTCCTTTGTCTTCGTGAAATAGGTATTCGAAACAATTAATTAACAAACGAAAAATTTTACTGTTAAAATCCGAAAGAAAAAAATATGAAACCAGACGGCAGACATCTGGCTTCAACGACATTTTGTCATCTGCTATTTGGCTTTTCAGAAGTTAAAGTTGAAACGCAAATCTGTTTATAAGTATGTGAGACCATTTAAAAAGTAAGTAGGTACAATCTGCGTTTCCGAGAATACATATGTTTTATCTTGTAAATGTGTATTCACTCTAGAATTGTATAGACCTAATTGTTTCTTTCGAGATACACAGATACAGTGAATTCCACTCTACCGAAATCATCAGGAAAACAGAAGCAAAGCGCTTCGTGCGAATGGGTGGTAGTTACTGACATAATTGTTAGTAGGCCTAAGTTTATTTTTGTTAATCTGTGAACGATATACATATAATTAAGATAATTTCTTCTATTACCAAAACTCGAATATTGTAATTTTGTTGAGATGCGAACTTATATTTTTAAGACAGGAAGCAGAGATTGCCACGCAACTAATAAACCATTTTAAATTGTACTTACAAAATTAAAAATAATATTAAACATACTGAAAGGGCACCACACAGCACAAATGTCTTTTTTGCAATTCTAGTAAAAAGATTTTGTAGTTTTTTAAAGAAAAAGCGTTTTTAGAGTCCCTGAGTGGAGGGGATATATTGTTCCAACATTTCGTGGAAGCATTAACGAAAAGTGCCACGAAACGTTGAAGTGTTGTGTTTTGCCCCAGAAATTAAACGAGAAGCCGTTCTTATGCGACGTTGGGAAAAATTTCGTTGTCAAAAAGATATGAGGGATTTTGTGTTTTAATTATTCCAAAAAAAGGCAACTAAAATGAAGTACACGACGAGATTTCATGGTCATTAAATTACTATAATTGAAATAGGGCGTAATATGGCATCGAGGAGGAATCACAAAACAGTAATTGTGTGTGTGCTGGCACACGCATTATGGACTCGTTGTTTAAGGCTTAGCCCGCAGACGGTCGCCAATTACAGTGTCGGCATAATTAAGCTTTGACAAAATTATAGCCTCAAACAGACGGTAACACATATCTACACTAAGATATTGACATATGCAAGTTGATAAGTCCCATGTGCCTGTAATTTCGTAGCCGTAGAGAGAAGTACTGCCACCTTACCTTTTTCTGTCGCCAAGCAGATGTCAACATTACTGTGTTCCGGTTTTGGCACGTGGGACTTCTCTACTTACGTCCCAGGGCGGACGGGCGCAGTGGCAGTGGCAGCATTTGAATCAACATCTACGGATTACAAATCTTACATAGGTGTGACTTCGATCTCCTCATATCCCATGATGGGCCGCCAGGGATGCTTCTTTGGGGTGTGGAAGCAATAGCCGACTGTTGGTGGCACGCTTGGAGCGCCAGCCGTCGGCTTCACAGGGCTCCATTGTTGCATTTGCTATCGACAAGAAGTTGATTTACATGTTTTGATATATTTTTGATTGTGCGCTTTAACATCCATCTAGTATCGTATACTTAACACACATGCCATGTGGTATGATTCTTCTAATAAAGGCGAAAAACGAAGGATACCATTACTTATTCAAAATTTGGGTGCACGCGGTCGACTATACCTACATGGAGAGAATAGGTAACCAAACCAATGCAAAATAAACATTCTATTTCTATTTACCGAACACATCGTTACTTCCTTCGCCATTTTGAAATGTTCTTTGCAACAGTTGTAATAGGAAAAATTTTGAAAAAAAAATTGGAAAATTTATCAAATTAAATTGTCATGGCCTCATTAGAAATTCAAATTTGAAAATTTTTATTTCATTTAAATTCGCCAGGCTGTGCAACGTAAAGGAAATTGAGGTGTGTTTTTTATGCTCCTAAAATGCACAATTTTAGAATAAAAATAATTTCTGCTATAATTTTTAACTCTTGTTAAATTCTTTCAGAAGTTCATATTATAGACTTCATACCACAGACATATATCTAGATATATGTTCACACCTATTTTAACATGCTTTTATGATAGTTTGACTTGGTTTGTAGCTAACCATATTGAACAAACCTTGTAAATTAATTTTATTAAATTACTCTGTGAATAAATGTATCTATTTTTTAATAAAATGGAGCCGAGCATACGTTTAGTTCTTTCAATCTCAAATATTGTATGTACAAGGTCAAGAGCACGTCAAGCTTGACACTTAAGACTTAAATCCAACTCTATGCCGCTTACGATAAGAACGGTTCAAAGTACAAAGTGTCAAGCTTGACGTGTTCTTGACTGTACAAATATTACTTACAATACACACTTTTTAGAATATAAACGTTTGCTTAGTTCACAAATCCTGTAATAATGTCACTTTGTTCATTTCATTCCAAAAAAAACACAATTTGACAGAGTGCCAACCTGCAGAATATAAACGTCAATGTCAATTGTCAAATCAAAATGTGTTATCTTGTTTGGAATCGATATTTTTCACTTACATTTTATTAGTAGAATTAAAATCAGTGAAGTATATTACCTGCTAGCGGTCACAACTAAAAGGAACAGTTAACCATGAGCAACGTCCCAGAGAACGCGCCACAGCGTAAGTAATTATTTCAAGGTTATCAGCTTCGGTACTTATTCGCGTCTAATATTCTAATTAAATGTACTTTGTTTATGTGTAGATTGCCCTGGGACACAGAGCCAGGATGCTGGCAAAGCATCAGCCTGTGCCGGGTGCCCCAACCAGAACCTTTGTGCGTCAGGTAAGCAAAAATAAATAAAAAACAATTATTGTAAATAAATTTCTCAGTACATAGGTACATGAACTTATAAAGCTACCTTTGAACGGCTGCTTTGATTAAGAAATCATTTAAAAGTACTGATAAAACATTGTACTGCTAACCTTCATTTGTAACTCTCCACTAGACAGTTTACAAAATTTAGTTATCATAAAAGATAATTTCAACAATTCTTTGTTTCTTTTTATATGAAATTCTTGTTTACAATTTCTTGCCATTTTTACTTTTAATAATAATAGCACAAATTTATTAATATTTTTATTAGGATCACCTTGGTTGAGGTACCACCAATCGGGGTTAAGAAAATTCTACAGTTATTGGGACATGATAGCTAATTGTAGTAACGTAGAGTTGCACATGCCCTGAATAAGCCTCTCTAGTACTATTAAATTGTGCTGTGTCACTTCCAGCACAAATCCCAAAAGTAGAGCACATATTCATTTAAATAGTCAACATTTATCTTAGGCCATGGGGAGACAAAAAACTAAAAAAGATACCCAAAATAATAATATCTGAACATTAACTTTATGAAAATCAGAACTAACTGTTGTAATGGTAATATTTCATGTTTGTTTAGAACTGTTACATCATATAGACTTTAGAATGCTTACAAAGGAACAGCTTAGACTATTCACAATACAAATATAACTCTCAGGTGCTGCCAATCTCCCCGATCCCGCAATAGACATTATAAAGAATCGGTTGTCCAATGTGAAGCACAAGATCCTTATCCTGTCTGGCAAAGGGGGAGTAGGCAAGAGCACTGTCACATCGCTTCTTGGACATGGTTTGGCGTCCAGGAACCCCGATGTCAATGTAAGTGCTTTTAACTGTCTTTTTAACCGACTTCAAAAAAAGGAGGTTCTTAATTTGACTGTATGTTTTTTTGTATGTATGTTACGCTATAACTCCGGTATTTGTGAACCGATTTTCATGATTCTTTTTTTGTTGGAAAGAGGGTACCTCCATAATGATCCCATTTAATTTTGAAGAAAATCATCCACCTCTAAGGGTGGCTGTTCACACATGAAGATTCATTTTTGTAAATAGCGCCAACATTTTATTATAAGGAGAGATTATTTTAATGGTTTGATTTTGCTATTCTCCAATTCAAGGCGTTTTTCTCTCTCAATAGACTTTGAGTAGTGAGAACCCATTTTTATTACCCCCTGTGTCAAGTCCCATATAGTAGCGAACTAAGTGATGAATCCCGATTTGCACACTTTCCGGTAACCAATTTCAATAAAACTTGGTAATTATATGTAATTCCACGTACTTTTGAGGTCAGTATTTTAGTACTCTATACTGAGATTATATTTATTGCCTTTTATATTTCACAGTCCTATTATTATACAAGAGCTTTTACATATTTTATTTAATTTATAGCAATTTGCTATACAAAGACCTATGCCCAGCAGTGGGCGGCGTATGGCTGAATGATGATGACGATGATGAAATACAAAACAGTACAAATGGTAGAGGTGTCCAAACAATTTTTTTTTTTTTCATTTGTAGTAATGTAAAAATGTTCTATGTTATTGTACCTGTTTTTGCATTTTAGTTTTTAACACAAAAATAGTAAGTTAAGTGTAAAAGAATATCCTTAAATAAACCTTAAAAAACTCCACTAATTTTAGTCTTATTTTCTTATAGTCTTGTTGGCTATATCTTTATAGAGTATCGTATAAGAATGTATATGTTATTTAAATTCTTACTACTATAATTGCTATTAGTAGAACAAATGTGGATGGAAATGTGGGGAGAGGTAGACCTCGCCATACATGTCTCAAACTGATTGAGGATGTCCTTATAAAGGCCAGGTTAAAGGTACCAAGGGTAAACGGGCAAGTATGAATATGTGTGGAGGCAAAAAAATGTTTCTTAGGAATGTAGAGAGTAAAGGTTTATTGTGTTTACCATACCCCAGAGGGAGACATGTTGATATGTATGTATAATCACAATTAAATTTTACTTCAAAGAATATATGTATGAAAAATGTAATATATTAAAACTTGTTTACTAAGTGAATTATATTACTGTGATGAGGTGATAACATAAATGAAAAAAAAAATGTTAATTTACTTTATATCAGGCAACAGCTTTTATAAACATGACCTCTCTACTCAATAAACTTGCTTTTTCAAACTAATTTTAACTTTTTCTAGTTATGTAGTAAATGAGACAGAAAAGGAACGCTGCTTTAACAGTGTTAACATTCAAAGGATGAATGTTAGTTGAATAACTACAAAAATTTGTAGAGCAAATGTAATAGAGAGAACCCTGCGAAGTTTCCGTGGCAAAAATTATTATTTAATTCGTGAAATAATATATTCGAGAATGGTCTGAAATATTATTACCACGGAAATCAGGCAGGGAACTGGAGAATTACTCAGTTATAAGAATAAACAGTCGTGTATCAAAAGACTGATGCAAGTGGAGAAAGTGAAATGGTGTATGTCAGAAGTGCGTGCTCTGTGTGAAAGTATGTGGTGGGAGTCTGGCGCGATAGTATGTATCTATTTTTAAATAGATATCTTTTTTATTATATCAAATGACGGGACGAACTAGTCATGCGCGTGGTGGTAAGCGACACGTCTATCCGTAACTGTCTCTCTGAGACATAAGGTTGACAATTTTGTAGTTTTACTAGCGCCCTTTGAAACCGCAACGCAGTAATGCTTGTCGGCAGAAATAGGTATTATGGCAGTACTTCCCTGGACAAACTCTTTTACAAGAAACTTTACTGCTAAGTAATTGATCTATTTAAGCAGTTGCATTTTAAAATTGCAGTTCAAAGGCAAACACCACTTATGGTACTTATTTCATTTCACAAATCCAAATAACATCTTATTTCATAGCTACCTATGTTGCAAATTAGTCTGGATTACACATTTTACTCGTTCGTAAAACAGATTTCCCCGAGAAGAACGAGTAAAATACAGCAAACGTTAGGCTACTTCTTGTAACTAGATAATAACAATAATTGATTCCATATTAAGCACCATTTAATCAGCAGAATATATCCACACGTCGGGGAAGAAAGGGCATAAAAGCTAATTTTATCGACAGTTACGGGTGTCTTCTTCTTAAAGTGCCTCTCCACTACTGGAGTTTGCCCTTCAATATGGCAAACTTGTCCCTGTCCATTGCCAAGCGAAACAGTTGTTCTGCGCTCGTGACTCCGGTCCACTCCCTTATATTGCGTAACCCTGACTTTTTACGTGTACCAGCGCGTCTTTTACCTTCAACCTTTCCCATCATTATAAGTTGAAGCAGTCGGTATCTATCGTGTCGAAGCACGTGACCGAGATGGTTCTTGATGGTCCAGATCAGCTGGCGTGAGGTGTTAATGCGCAGGAGTGCTGTCTCGTTCATAACTTTCTGCATCCAGTTGATACAAAACATGCGAAGTAAGAAGTTATGGATGTAATACTGGCTTTTTTAACAATGAATACGATATGAACCTAAATATTTATAGAATTATTATTTTGTAAATCTTGTAGTATTTACGCCCTTTACACTCGAAAGTATCTATATGTAAGTATTACTAAAAATGGGCCTAGGATTAGTTGGCTAGCGACAACATTAATCAAAGGAAACCAGCCAAGTAGGGTGGTAAGCGTGGAAGGTCTCTCCTATTTTTATTATAACTGATTAGGTTTCTCTCGTTGTCTGTGACCTCTTTGTTATTATCCAATGATTTATTACTTACAGATAATATTGTTATTGTATATAAGGTGGTAGCGCCAGTGACTGGTGCTGCGCCGGCGTTCTATCTTTTTTTAAATCATTTCTAATAAGATTTAGGACAACATTTTCTGCCATAGTTACACGTTTTTTACTGGTAAGATCTATAACTGGGTGTTCATTATTGGTGAGTGTCGATAACTGGTTAGTAAATTAGTGGATTTTTGGTGTTCATTACTAGAGATTCAGACAAATTGTATTTTAATTTTTTTTAGTAATAATTATAATATTTTTATGAAACATACTACGGCATAATCTTTCTTGAGGGTTACGTCTGTCAAGTAAACTAATCACTAACTGATATATGTTTAAAAACAAAAAAGTTATTTAAAATTTAAAGACATACTTTCCTTAAAATGTTGATCATTGGTGCCATTACTCTAATTAGATGACCATAAACACGTCGTTGACGGGGATGAACGAGTTGGTATAAATGTACATCAATAAAAATGGAGGTAAATTCTTAGAGTAGTAGGCAGTAAAGCTCCTTGTGAAAGAGTTCGTCCAGAGAAGAACAGGCAATACGCGTATTACTGCGTTCCGGGTTAGAAGGGTAAAACTACAGGCACATGGGACTTGTCAACTTATGTGTCAGAGTGACGGGTGTAGAGGCAATGCCCCCTCAGGTCTTTGAGAGTTAAAGTTTTCAGTGGCACTGCAACTGCTATGGACAGGCGTGTCGCTTACCATCAGGCGCAAGACTGTTCGTCCCGTTACTCGGTATCCTATAAAAAATTTGTTACTAAGCCAACCCAGTGAAGGTTAACTCGTACAAAATAGTTACAGTAAATAGCGCTTGTGTTGAATTTTTTTTCATGCAGTTAATTTTCCCACTCTCTCTCAACATAGAATTAATAAATTAAGTAACAAAAGCGCAACTACAGTCACAAACATCACTACCAAAAAACATACTCGACACATGTTTCGCCTCTCTACGAGACATCCTGGAGTTGTTGAATGTTCGACCCTCGGCCTAGCCTTCACTTGCTTTGCGAAGTAGCAAATTAATTTACTTCCACTTTTGTTAATATGTCATTGTATTTCCGGAAAGAACGCCTGAATCTATTAATTATTTAAATGTACGTGAGTAACTAACTATAAACACGATGTTACCTCCATTGTGACATTGGATCCGTATAACCCAGCAGTTAAAGGACTATAACATAAAATAATTAGTATAAAATAAAATCATTTATATATTCGAAACGAAATCGCTAGTCGCTGCTAGTGATGTAATAATGGCATTACATGGTCTGGGAATAAAATGTATATCGTGTTCCACATTCGACACACGAAAACGTACTCAAAAATAAGTGACAATTAAAACAAGTTTTAGTCCAAAATGTAAAAGCCATTACCTACCCTGTTATATCTCGATCTTCTCTCGTATGAATTCCCAAACTCCATTTTGGCGCGTAATTATTATTTTCAAAACAACATAGCACAAGCACACGTGTATTGATCCTTGACGACGACGGGCAAAGATTTCGCGATGTAGTGCCTACCGCGTGATGCCGGCACCGACTGGTACAGCCTTTTTGAATGTAGGTCAGGTTTTTAATGGGATATTGCATGACGCATCGTCATGTACACGTAAAAGCTCCAACTGTCTACAAAATTTACTACATAGAACACCCATATCTTACCCCATATTAACCACAACATGTACCGACATGTCAAAGTCAGTCAAACATTAATGACCTGGTCTCAAACCAAGGTATTTCCTGTACTGTAGGTACCAAGGCAGCAAAATTTACCGGGTTCATTTCCTATAGTCTGTTTTTTTTTTGAAGACGGAGTAAAATGAAAATTCATTGCGTAAAAATGTTGCCTGCTTGCGAGCAGCTGGTGATTCCAGTTGATAAATATTCTAACGACTTAATATAGGTCATGTTTCTGGAAAAATACCCGAACTTATTTATTTTTCAATCATCCTCGACCCATTATTCGTCCAATTACTGAGTACAAGTTCATTTGAATTGTCAATTTTTGTTAGTTCTTACATACATACACTGTATTTAGAACTATGTAAATTAAAAATACAAAGAGGCAACATATTTCGAAATTTTTCATTTTAATTCAATATAGATAATTAAATTCCGCCATTCTTGTATAAATGTGTGTGAATAAAAAATCGATCTCGATTACGATACGATACTAAAAACATTATTTATACCTTCAGCTTAATATACAGAGTTTAAACTATAAAATTGCTATTATAAAATACTGGCCATTTTGAAATAAAATAAAATATTTGTAGTAATTGACTTACAAATAAATGGACGACGGGTCTAATACAAAAACCACGAAAAAAATGTCCCAAGTCAACCTATTCAAAAATTAAATTGTAATGTCATCGCAGTATCGCGCTGTCAGTAGAACAAATGAAGACTGTCGCGCTCTGTATACGATTTTAGCGCCTTACAAGTGCGGACACTTTTTAGCGCGGACCCGACGTCCATATGAAGAAGTCAATGAGGCCAACTGTCAAAGTAAGAATAAAAAAGGCAATAACGCAATTAGTGATCGTAGAATGTCGTAACATTCACAATTCAGTAATTTTTGACAAAATTGTATCTTCTTTCACAATCTATCGACAATAACTGCATAACTATTAAAATTTTTATTAAAACTGGCTACCTTACAAATGTCTTCTTGCTCCGTCTTCAAAAAATACAGACTAATAAGTGGGTCCTACGGGGAATCGAACCTGTGAATTTTATTCGTTATCCAGCACTCGCATTGTTAACCTTAGAGCCGCCGAGGTCGCAGAACTATATTACGTATAATAAATACCTTGTACCTAACTAATATAATAACAGACTAATAACATACTATATTTGTGTATTCTGTAGCAAGCGAACAGGTCATAGCGTAGGGTGGGTTTTGCCTAAAAGCAAAGCACTAGTTTTGAGCTGTCGAAATATGAAAGTGACTTCTTAAGAGTCTATTTCTCTTCTTGATGTCCGAAGCTATTAATTTTAAATTTTATAAAAAGCTACTTATTATAAAAATTAATTTAAATGTTATTAGGTACCAATTTACCAATTTTCTTTCAGTTTTATACTTCCGATACAAACATCCGTGTTGTTTGTTATGCAGGTGGGCATTCTAGACGCGGACATATGCGGTCCCAGCCAACCGCGCGTTTTGGGCGTCAACGGCGAACAAGTGCACAACTCAGGCTCGGGGTGGTCGCCTGTTGTAAGTACCGCAACGGTTACTCGCTTAATTTTTTATTTTCGAATAACTTAACAACTCAACATAGAACAATGAATACAGCAGAAGTAGTTAGTTAGCGTCAGACGCCTGCCTTTCATTTTCGCTTTGTATGTATGGTATGGTTGTGTCATTCTTTCGTGCAAATTTTCTAAAATGCTAGAAAAATGCCTTATTGTGCTGTTTTGCAAAAATGATAACTGCACCAAAAATATTACCCGTGGTGGTGTTTCATATCATCGGAACGTCTTTCTTTTAAATTTTAATACACTTTCAATTTTCTGTTTATCGAAATAATTTTTTGTTACAAGAAACGAAAGTAAAGCTTATACCCATACAATATGGTCGCTTCTTGTTTGGAGAACTAAATTAATAACTCCAATTCGTCGTCGTTCAGCAATGAACCGCTAGAGGGCAGCACATTGATTGAAATTTCAATGTAACATCAAAATGTCGTAACTTGTAACAATAGGTATTGATGATATTCAACTTTAAACGATATGCCAACAGAGTAAAATTTAAATTATATTAACAATCCAGAATTCGTTATTTCTTCTTAAATTTGAAACTACGACCTATCAATATCAATATTTTGTACTGTTTCAAATTAAAAATGTGTGAGTTTTGGCGACATCGGTTCTTATAGTAATCGACGCCTAAGGCACTTCCATTGGTTTTTTTTTCCGCGAACTTAACATACAAATAGAGATTAAGTTCTCTCAAATCACGTAAAAGTTAAGCAGGAGAGTTCTTAGACGATAATTAATTTCAGTAAAGAGAATTCAGCTACCAAATACTAATTTCAAACATTGGCCTACAGTGTTTTTACCACCTTGATTTGATAGAACACCATTGATGACACGAAAGATGTGTGTCAGAATCGTAACAAATGTAAGGCTGTGGTTTCTGTCTACCCCAATGGGAAAAGGTCGTGAAGCATATGTTTGTATGGATGACTGTTTAATAATGAGGAGTTAAATGTCCTCAGTTCTTTTAGCATATACAACCACAGTCATTAGTGGAATGTTCGCTTTCGAATGTTGATAAGTTCGAACGTTTTATTCGGTTACGGTAAAAATAGTTATATTATGACGAAAGAAGATCAGGGGAAGAAACAGCTGTATTTTTTGCTGATATGAGATATTTCGAATAATAAATCAATCGCGTTTATTTATTGTTTCAAGGAAACCGTTTCGGGCCTTTTACAGGTGTCATGGTCACGGTTGACTGACAAGTATTTGTCCTCACACGAAAATATACTTTCATCTACAATGTGCAATAATCGCAAAAACCTAAGAACTAATAGAAATATGAAACATTCTTTTAATGTTATGATTATGAATACCTACAAAGATCGAACACACAGAAATATTAGGGGTTAAAGTATGAAATTGCCGTTTTATTGCAATAGGTTCTTTGAATTTTCATAGAATCTTCATGGTTTGAGGTTTTCGAATGAAACTTTTTTCAAATGGTTTCTGTGATTTTTCTTTTTTTTTAAATTTGAAACATTTGAATATCGACTTTCAATTGTTTTTGTTATTCAATTTAGACAAGAAAGATGGATACTGCGAAAATTCGAGTGATTTTTGAATACGAGTTCCGACGCGGAACTAACGCGGCAGAAACAGCCCGCAATATCAATGCTGCGTTTGGAGAGGGGTCTACTAATGAACGCACCGTGCGATTTTGGTTTAAACGCTTTCGTGATGAAAATTTCGACTTAAAGAACGAGCCACGAGGAAGACCGCCCACACAGGTGAATAACGATGAATTAAGAGAGATAGTGGAAGCCGATCCTAGTCAAACTACCCAGGAATTAGCGGCATGGTTTAACGTTACCTTACCCACAATATTGACTCACTTGCGTCAAATCAATAAAATAAAAAAATACGAAAAATGGGTGCCTCATGATTTGACTCATCTGCAGAAAGAAACGCGTGTTGAAACTTGTGTTGCCTTGTTGAACCGGTACAGAAATGAAGGAATATTGGATCGAATTGTAACATGTGATGAAAAGTGGATTCTTTATGATAACCGGAAAAGAAAAATGCAATGGCTGACCCCAGGTCAAATGCCACAACAGTGTCCTAAAGCAAAACTTACCAATAAAAAGGTAATGGTAACTGTTGGTGGTCTCAGCATGGTGTTATTCACTATAGTTTTCTCCGATCTGGTCAAGTAATAACGGCAGATGTCTATTGTGCCGAACTCCGAACCATGTTGACAAAACTAGCAGTAAAACAGCCCCGACTCATGAATCGATCTTCACCATTATTGCTCCACGACAACGCGAGACCTCACACAGCACGAGAAACCATTTTGACCCTTCAGGAACTGCACTTAGAAACCATTCGTCAACCTCCGTATTCACCAGACCTTGCTCCAACGGACTACCATTTTTTTCGTGATTTGAACAATTATCTACGTGACAAGAAGTTTTCTTCCCAGGAGGCAGTACAAAATGCTTTCACACAGTTTGTGCAGTCTAGATCGTCGGAGTTCTATCGCAAAGGCATTAATAACCTTCCCATTAGATGGCAGCAATGTATAGATAATAATGGCAACTATTTTGATTAAATAAATTTGTTAAAAATTTAAAAAATAAACAATTTAGATTTTCAGTACAAATCGGCAATTTCATACTTTAACCCCTATTATTAAAAAAATATTCAAAGGTTAATCCTAAACCTCTCACTAGATATCACGAGCGGCGACGAATGCCGAAAGCCAGTACAAAGTTCCCATATCACGACTATCTGTCGTGGACGATTTTTTATCGTTGAACGAGTGTCGTGACTAGCTGTTCCCATTAGATCGTGACGACTATTTATTGTTTCACGACAGCCTCCTTGCCCATCACTGGCTACGACCCAACGCTACAGCAAAGCGAGCAGAGGGCGCGGGGTACAAGGGGAGAGCAGGGAGCAGAATACGTGCGAACAGGGATAAATAAAACGTGACGACAATAGCAGCTGCGACAATCTGTCGTCACGTTTTTATCGTGACGTTTTTTTATCGTCCGATGACTGTCGTTCTAGCTGTTCCCACTGTGACGACAGTTTGTCGTTGTAACGATAAAAAATCATGAACGACAGTTAATCGTGTCGTGCTATATTTGAACAACTTCATTTAAATATACAAGCCACGACACTGTAAACTGCACGACAATCTGTCGTCTGTAGTGGGAACGCGCCCTAACAAAGACACAGGATAATTTCGACTGGGTTACCTATCAGTAGTTCGAAATGACATTTTCCAGAAATAACGTTTGTTCGAATTTTCATAACCTCGAAAGTAATTTGGAGAGTGAAAGAACAACGGTTTCGTTATAATTCGATTTTCGGTAACTGGACCCGTAGACGTGGGTTCACGTCCCACCGGTTCAAAGAAAAATTTTTCTGAGTGTTCGATCTTTATATTCATAATTATAACAAAACTGGTAGAGTAATTTCACAAAAAATCTCAATAAGATCCTGTAATGAACAAGATGTATCTCCGATGATAATTTGTTTTCATTGCAGTATGTGACCGACAATCTCTCTTTAATGTCCATCGGGTTCCTGCTCGGCAGCCCGGACGATGCCGTCATCTGGCGAGGACCGAAGAAAAACGGTTTGTACGTTTAATTTGGGAAAGCAAAAGCAATATTTCGAGTGGGAGAATGGTGGCTTCTCAATTGCACCTGTGATTTTAATTTCTAAGTTACAAGCTCTTGTAGCAGAAGAGCTTTCAAGTGAAACAGTTCATCCAATATGAGCATTCCAGTTTTAAAAGGTGAGCAGGTGAAACAACAGGCACGTGGAACTTGTCAACTTAAGGTGGCAGTGCCCCTTTGCGATTTAAAGCTCTGAGTGACACTGCAATAGTTATGGACAGGCATGTCGCTTACCACCAGGAGCACGACTTGCTCGTCCCATCACTTGATATCATAAAAAAGTGAATATTTATAAACATTAGTGGGACGAACTCTCTCTTTATAGGAGACCATTGCCCTTTGATGATAATGCTGAATAATAATAACGCACACACTCAACATAGACTCGCACTAGGAAAACCCTGTGTCGCGGGTGCCATGGACACACACATAGACAACCACAAATTACACCCGAACTCACGAGATAAATAAATGAAGGCCATACAAATATTTATCCCAGCCCGGGAATCGAATTTGGGACATCTGCGTGGCAGTCCGGCGTGGTAACCGTTCGGCCTCAAAGGCAGTTTTATTATAATATTACGTACACACATCAAAAGTGTACAGTTAATGCCAATTACATTGAAAATGAGTTATTAATATTAGTTTTTAATGATTTTTAACACCAATGGTTTTTTTGGTCAATTTCGTTATTTAAAAAATAAATAATATAAATATTTTTATTTATTACTATAGTACTATAGTACTATTCAGCATTATTATTTATTTTTGTGTGTTTATTATTCTTTCAGGTATGATTAAACAGTTTCTGAGCGAAGTGGATTGGGGAGAATTGGACTATCTTTTAGTTGATACACCACCAGGTAAATTATTATGATAATGAATACATCATTTTTTTTTTTTTTTTTTTTAATTAAAAAAAGTCACGTTGCAACACTAGAAGCGAATTAAAAAAAATTCATGGCCATAGGTTCAAGTCCTTCTGTCAAAATATGAAGAATAATAAACAGAAAGTATTTTTTATCTGTGGCGTTTCGTGGTTTGCTTTCTGTGTTTTTTTCAACTTTTGCTAAAAACTAATGTTGATATAAAAAAAATTATCTATTGACCAAAGATCATTGCAATCGACCGTTTTGGTTTTTTATTATTTGGAATTATCGTAAAAAAAATACTTGACAGATTTATAGTTACATTTTTATGAATATACCTAACGTGACCATACATCCCGCTTTTAGGCTTCGTGTCCCTTTTTCCACATAATACTTACATTTTTTTAGAGACGCTTTCACAAACAGAACACACGTCACGATAAAGTCTAAAAAACGGAGCGAAAGCGAAAAATATATTAAGCCAGCCAACCAGACATCGAGCACCAGTTCTTTTTTAAATTTTTGATTCAATAAACAATTTTAGTTCGTTTTATTTATGTTTTTATCATCAAACATTAAGTCACTATCATAAACATGGCTCTTAAATTTAAAACTATAATGAATTTACGGGTGTCCCGCTTTGAGGGAGCAAAATAATGGTCACTTTATGAATACCCCACTACTAGCAAGCCAGTACGGTCGGTTATCCCAGACATCCAATTTTCATTGAATATTTAGCCTCTTAGTTCTGAACAACTTGCCAAAACTGTCGAAATAATACTCCTTTCAGTGACTTCAAGAAACTAACGCACAATAAACGCACACACTCAACATAGCCCCACACTAGGGAAAGCCTGTGGTTGGGTGCCATGGACACACACATAGATACCACAACAAAAATACACCATAAAATACATAAAAGTACACCACACAAAAGTAGACCATACAAATATTTCTCCCGGCCCGAGAATCGAACCTGGGATCTCTGCGTGGCAGCTCGGCATGACCGTTCGATCATGGAGGCAGTTAAAGAGAATGTTAAAGTTGAACAGAATGGTTTAGTAAATTTGACAAAATTTAAATTAGAATTTTTTTGTATCAAAATAACACAGTATGTATTGTAAATTAAAAAAAACCTATTGCTTAAATGAAAAATAATGTATCTTATTCCAGGTACGTCAGACGAGCACTTATCTGCGGTCCAGTACCTCTCTAAGGCAGGTCTTACTGGCGCTGTCGTGGTGACGACACCGCCAGAAGTGGCGTTATTAGACGTCAGAAAGGAGATACAGTTCTGTCAGAAAGTTAACGTCCCGATTATTGGCGTTATCGAGAACATGTCGCTGTTCGTTTGCCCTAATTGTCAGGTTAGTCTGTTCACCCGTAGTTTACAATTTTTTTTTAATAACTATTTTTTTATTGAACATTGGCTATAGAGCAACTAACTTAATTGCAACTTTTTTAAAAACACCTTCAAAAGTTCGTGGAATTGCATCTATTACCGGAAACCGGATTCATCCCCCAGTTAGGGGTGGAATATTTTCTTCAAATTTAAATGGGACCAATACTGACCCTACCCTCTTTTCAACCAAAAAAGAATCATCAAAATCATGACATCACAATTTACATGACATTAAATACTACACAAAATAGTATAAACGCTTGATATAGAAGAGAGAGAGAAAAATTTTCCACCTTTAACAAAATGTCCTCGACAACCTCCTTCTGTGACTTCGTGTCCAGAAGACTGAAACGGGAACTTATACTTTAGCAGAAATAATTGTCGCTTTGTGGTCGTCCACCCATTTATGTCCCACTGTTGGTCACATGTCCGCAGAAGTGCCAAAAGTTTTATGAGCACGATTGAATCGCAGACTCGCAGCGAAATTTTTCCGGCGACGACGGGTGGCGCGCCGCAGATGTGCACGGAGATGCAGGTGCCTCTGTTGGGATCGTTACCGCTGGATCCGCTGCTGGCGCGCTGCTGCGACGACGGACGCGACTTCCTCCAGGAGCTGCCTAACTCCCCGGCAGTTCAGGCGCTGAAAGCCATCTTAGAAAGTGAGTAACGTGAACTAGAAGTGTTTTTACACAAAATCTTGTTTAGGTTACTGAGTTAACGACGTAGCAGTAGAACTCCTTGTAAATGAGTTCGTCCAGAGAGGTTCTGCCACTTTACCTATTTCTGCCGCCAAGTCGGCATTACTGTGTTGCGGTTTTGAAGGGTAAGGGTGCTGGTGAAATTACAGGCACACATGGACTTGTCAACTTATGTGTCACGGTGGTGATCTTTGCCATTTAAATTAATTTTTATCTAATCCATTATAGGAGCTCCAAAAGCTTCCGTGACATGAAAGTAAATATATTCTTATTTGTTTCAGAAATCGTGACTACCTGTGAGAGCACATCCCAATGAATTTTAATTAAATAATATATGGATTGAAAACAAGCGTCCCTGAACTCTTGGGCTTAGGTTAATCTTTACAAGAATTTAATTATCGAATAGATCGTGTAAATTAAATGATTCGCTTCTAGTTTTTAAGTATAAATGTTAATAAATATATACAGTGTTAAATCTGTTTCTTTATCGGCCTGTTGTTGTTTTAAAACTTTTTTACCCTGCTACCAATCTACCCATTGTAAGTACTGGATAAGCTTCGATGGTTCAATGTAGTTTTCATACGTGAAATTATTTATTTCAAAGATTATAGCCAATGATCTTATATACCTAAGAAAATATAACTATTTATTGTTGTCTACGTGATATGAATTCAGCAATTGTTTATAAACTTCACATACTTACGAGTTTGCGTTTTGTTGTCTCTATTGCATCGTTTTTTTTCCATTGGCAACTCACGTATTATCTAGACGTCAATGTCACATGAATCTGACAAACTGAGGAAACAGGAATTGGCGAAAATTTTGAAAAATATTGCGAAATATTTATAATTATCTCACGTTTTTTTAATTAGCTTACTTATTGTAAGAAATACTTAATGAAAACTACATTATTCAGTTTACTGGAGTTTCGGTCGGCAGAATTAATCGGTATTACACAACCTGTAATGGGTTTTGTTTCGAGAACGATTTGCTGATAATATACTGAAATGCCTCACACTGAAGAAGAAGATAAGCCCTGTCGGGCGTGCACGGACTTTAAGTCATGGGCCAAACAGCAGAGTAAGGCATCCTTAGCACCTCAAAACAAATCGCCGGTAAGGTTATATTTTATCTTCTAACCTTGAAGAATTGTCCTAATTTCGTGTCAAAATGTTCTGGAACTACTCTTCATACTGCTAAAGTTAGTTGATATAACGCTGTCGTCAATAGAGTTCCTGTTCACGTAGGTAAACACTCAAAAAATGCGGCAAGCTAGTCATGTAAATATGTATAATTCTCATTCAGGCGCACCCACCAGACTGTCCCTTAGATAAGGAGGATTTAGGCCACTCGACATGGGGTTTCCTCCACTCCATGGCTGCATACTACCCTCAGAAACCAACAGAGAATCAAGAAAAGGACATGAAAAAATTCTTCCACATATTTGCGGAGTTTTATCCTTGTGAACCTTGTGCTCTGGACTTCTGGGACGAGTAAGCATCTTTTAACATAATTTATCGTAGTTTAATTGGTATTTTTGCCTGTCCTAAGCCAAAATCAAAGTATGAAGGGAAAATGGAATTATTTTTAAAACATTTTAAGCGAGAGAGGCTTGACACGCGCTCGTAGCGCGGGGCGCGGCGCGGCGGCGGGCGGTTCATTTTCCTAACAATCAGCTGTTCGTAGAGTAGCTCAAACGAACAGAGTATTAGTATTTGTAAAATGGTACGATATATTTTTTTTATAATGTTTTGGGGCGATATTTTTACATATTCGGGATGGGTATCAGCTACTCATTCATCTCTTTAAATATTTATTTCGTTCAACCAGTCACCCTGTATATATTGTATTATTGATTTGTTTTTATTTTGTGAAATGGCATCAAAAGCCAAAAAAAACAAAATGCAAAGATCTATAAGAGACACAGGAAAAATTTGTCAACCTGGTAACTCGACCTGAAGCTTAGTTGGTAAAGCAATGGGAACGGAGTCTCGTAGTTGAAGGTTCGAGTCCTATTGGGGGTTTTCTGTGTGTTCCATCTTTGCATTTAATAATTATGTATATATTGTTAAAATTTACTTTTAAAATATAATTTTAATAAAATTCATGGAGTGTGCTGCAATGCATAATATGTATTGAAAAGTAATCCCAACATTTCTATTACAGCATACAAGAAAACCCACCGCAAACACGTTCAAGGGATGCACTTAGCAAATGGCTATGCGACCGACACAATACGGTGAATAAAAAACTTGGTAAACCTATGTTTGACTGCAGCATGGTGACAGAAAGGTGGCGAGAAGGGTGGAAAGACGGATCCTGTGATTAGGGCATGTATTGCAGGGAGAATATTACCAGATAGTACAATTCTTTGAAGTACGATTTAGACATTGCAGGCTTTAAGACATACAATTGTATTTTAGAAAGGGTTTGGAATATCTATGCAGCAATATCCTACATCCAATTTTTGTAAATGCTTACAGACTGTATGTTAAAGATTATCTTTGTAAAAATATGTAATATAAATGTGTCAATTACAACAATTTCCTGGTATCTAATTAGCAAATTTTTTGCAGAAAAGTGTATCAATTTAGCAAAGTGCATCAAACTCAGCACCATCAGTATCTACTTACCTCTGAGTGACCAAGGTTGTCCATATATTCAATCAATTTTGAGATGATTATCTGGTAACATTTTACCCTGTATCTCTATTAGTTTAAGAAGGTGTTAAGCATTCGAAATAGTGTAAAAGTGGTCCCTAGTGAGAGATTAAGAGTTTTGGTTTTAGCATTAACATGTGATATTCCTCACAATATTTTGTTGTAATAGTGAATTTTGCTACTTGTTTGTATAGTGTGTACAGAAATACATATTTGTCACTTTTAATAAATGTTGTTGCTCTTTTGAGTACATTATTATGGACTTGTTTAAATTGAACAATGTTTAGTTTAAGTTCATATTCCATATCGTTCAAAACCGTCTTGTGCTGTTCAGTATTCAGACAGGCCAAAGTAAGTGACGTGAAAAAATTGCTTGCTATCCGGGCCACTGAAGAGCCTTTGCGTTCAACCCAGTTGTGTGATGGAGCCCGAACACGACGTGAAACTGATAGTCTGTGATGGGGCTGGGGAAGATATAAAAAATGCCTCTCTTTGAGAAATATTTGCTGAGAATCATGGAACATAATTGAAGAGGATACTTCACATAATAATACATGGACCACCCTTACGGTTTGTAGACAGGCGAGGGAAGCACTCCCAACGCTCAATGCCAGTCTATCTCCAATACTAATTAAATTTAAAAGGCAAGAGCTTCGCACTCTAACTGCCGCTCTAACGGGTCATGGTCCATACAATAAACACCTTTTCAATTTAGGTATCACAGACAGCCCTCTATGCAAAGCGTGCATGGAGGGGGAGGAAACGGCTGCGCACATCCTACTCCAGTGCTCCGGCGTGGCCAATACAGGGCAAAGTACCTTGGAGTGCCAAGGTCGCTCCCCGAAGTCTTCAGCAAACCAAAGAGGCTGCTGAGATTCCTGGAGGAGCTTGGGTGGCACGAGTAGGACCCTGCACCCACCACACGCAAAATAGGCGCTTTGTCGTCGAGTTGCGGATACCAGCCCGTTGCACCAAGTACCAAGTAATTGAAGAGGACTGCTTTCTCCATGCTACAGATTGTAGCTCTGAAAAAGGTCAAAATCCCGTTTTACATCTAGATCGCGCTGATCTAGAACTAGTTTATATCATGTAAATGGCCGTGGATTTCAATTAGTTCGTCATTCATATGAAATATAGTCAGTTATTAAATTATTTTCTGAACTTTGACAAAGTGCGTGTCAATAGAAGGCATTGTGTTCCTAGTACGGGTAGATGGCGCTAATCCTAAAGAAAATATGGCGGCGTCCGTAAATATGCAATAAGCTCCATCTAGTCTGTTTGTTTGTTATCATTAAAAATGAGAGTAGCTTTGATAAATTATAGTTATTATTATTTCCTTTATGGCAACCATTATAATAGGCTTGTGCCAGGGTCACTTTGTTATGAATAAAATATAAAAATTATGGCGGACATCGCCAGTGTCAGTTTTCTTGAAATTCAAATAAATCTAAATTGTAGTTCGTCATTTACGCACATCAAGTGTGATTTTAAGTAATTGCCAAAAACTTGCTTGATCCCTCAACAGTTAAATATTTACATGATTAGTTACAAAAATCAAAATCTATGGTTACAAAATAGCTGTTCGGTACTCATCGCGACATCTGGATGTACCAAAAGATATGAAATACGCTGTCTCGTACCGCGATTGATATTTCCTCTACATTTATTGTTTATTTATATCTCTTATATTTCTTCGCCCTTCCCAATCTCGTTTCTAAATTTCCTATTTATTTTATTAATCCTTATTAACGATCTTTGTTGTATACAAAGACAAAATTAAAAACCTTTTTGTTTTTACATCTTCTGAAATTATAAAAAACACAAAAACATATAAGTATAATTGTATATTTAAAAAGTAAGCATGTTTTAACCTATGTGCTAAGTTTGCCCACACTAGAAGTATTCACAAATAAAACCCATTAATAGTTGAATCATTACAATTTTATTAAAAACTCGTATAAATTCAGTTCATGGAAATGTTTACACTATTAGTTCATAATTATGCTTACCCAATAGATAAAGCCTGGCATACACTTAAAATAACATACCGAAAAACATCACTTCATTAAGATACTGAAGTTCGTTAAAATTATCATAGTACAATTTTATAATTGAACCTTCTTTTCATTATAAAAAAAAATGAATAAACAGTAAACGTTACAAAATTACGTAATAAGAACCGACTCTCAATGACATACGATTAAACAGCTGTACGGTTGTAAACAGCAGCTACAACATTAACAATCACTTCATTCCACTATAGGTTATTTATTGTTGGACCCTAAGATGATAGCTCAAGCATTGGCTGCACGAACACGGTTATTTATTTAAGTATAATAATAGCCAGTACGCTTACATGTTACAGTAAACAGATCATTATAAATATTTTTAATTAAAGTTCATATTCTAAATGTAAAAAGTTTGATAACCATATTCGTGTTGCCAGTAGGTTAAATTAGTTCTTTAGCTTCCGCAAGATGTCCTTGGAGGCCTGAAGCTTCAGTTTTAACTTTTTATATTTATTAAAACGTCAATTACGAGTCACAGTGTACAGAATCAGAGGCAGTATGCTAGCTGCCCCGTGGTTGCCTCGAGTCCGAGCTCGAGTCGGTGATTGCAGATCCTCATAAGAACTCCATTTCCCTCTCGATGCCCACGAATTTCAACTGCTCCGTTGGCCCGTATCTATGAATACAAAGAGAACAATTCGTTTTTTATTTAGTTAATACCACCCTTGCATTTTTATTCTTAAAGGGCAGAACACAAAAATATTGTTATCACAGAAGAAAACAGATTTCCCCTGTTTTATAAATTCAATGGAAACGACGTTTAGCTTAGACCAATTAATACTGAAAATGCAAGGTGGCTCGACTTACGTGTCCGGGAGTGTATTTTACTCATAAGAGTGTTCTTTTATTACATTTGAGCGTTTTCGTCATTGAAATATACAGTGAAAATACAATGAAAGTTTTAAACGAATGTGGAGTACTAATCAACAACCACTATAGATCAACGGGAGAGACTAGATATAAGCTGGATGGATAGGCGTATTGCTTATCACCCAGGCGCACGACTTGTTCGTTCAGTGTGGGCGGGGATAAACCAATAACTTATGTTTCATAATTTTTGTTTATCCCCGCCTGCACTCCTAATAAAGTCCAAGTTATATTTACGTTATAATATTTTTTACTATTTGTTTAAATTGGGTACCAATTACATAGTTTCTGTAGTAAAGTGAACAACTTCCTAAGTATGTCAAAGACTATAATTAATAATCCACTTAGTAGGAAGCGTTACACTTCCACATTTATAAGGCGCGACGGATATGGAGCGAATAGGCATTGCCTATCAGGTGAGATAGGAGGACAAATGCGCACTTATGTTCGTATAAAACGGACCTGTAGTCGAAGAAGAGTTCCTCGCCGGGCTGGATGGCGCGCTTCGCGAAGATGCCGATGCGATGGTCTCCGTTGACCATCATCACCTTCGCGTAGCAGTTCGGGTTGATCGAGTGGTTCGCGAACCGGATCTTGTTGCCTTTGCGCGTCGCGTCCACCACGAAGTCTGCAACGTTCATTCGTACAAAAGCTTATTTAGAAACATTTTTAATGTTTAATAACACACTTGTTTCTTCCCCAATTTATCGATAGATTGTGAAAGTAGGTAAAATTTTGCCAAAAATGTCTAAATTGTAAATGTTACGTTCTGATGGTTACTAATTGTGTTATTGTATTCTTTATTCTTATTTTGACTGTTGGCTTAATATTATCAAAATCAATTTTTGGTCATACCGTGACGATGCGACCTCTATCATCGTCATCCCACCTTTCTACCACCCTTTTCCCTGGTTCCTGGCCACCTACTTTGAAATTTTGAACCGTTCTTAAATTCTTCTTCGTCACTTACTTTTCTTATTTCCATCGCCACTCTCTACTAAATTTCCGAAACGAGCTCGCATGCTCGACTTCACATAAAATTCTGACCAGTTAAATCACGTAACCTAACTGCTTGTAAAATATGATATTTGTAGTACCATTGGAAATTATGTAACCGAACGGCTTATAAAGCATAGTATTTCGAGAAATTACAGGCCCTTTTGAGATAAGTTCCTTTTTACCATAACCTATATATAATTTAAGTAGGGAGTGTTTTATACGATTGCACCTGTTTTATATCATTGTTTTGTTACAGTCTTCCTGTTCCTGTACTCTTTATTTCTACAATAAAATTTACGCGGGCTAAGCCTTGTATTTCATTACGCTAGGCCCGCGTGACTCACATACATACACATTTTAATAACGACAGGCAGATTTGATTATGTATACTAAATTAAAATGAAAAGCTTTAAAATATGTCTGCTATTTGTATTTTTAATTGCTCGCAAGCAAGCAACACTTTTACGCAATGTACTTCCAATTTACTCCATCTTCAAAAAAGACAGACTATATAAGTTTTGGTAGGATGTCATTATAACATGTTGGTATTTATAATAACACCCAGCATGTAATCAGTGTAACAGGGCATGTAACTCACCGTTGTTAAGGTTGAAGAGAAACGAGCACATGTACTTGTCGTAGACCTTCCCTCTCCTGTCGGCCTCGTCTTGGGAGATGATCTCCCCGCAGTATTCGGAGATGAACTCGTTCTTGTGCGCCGCTTCCTTCAGGAAGATACCCCAGCCAGCCACGTCGCTGGGTGCCAGCAGTAAGTGCTTGTGGAGACCACTAGGGAAGAAATCTTTTATAGTTATAAAATTCAAATAAGTACCAATTATAGAAATAAATATTTTATTGAAATTACATTTATCAGGTCACTAGTAAAATTTGCACAATAACATAGTGCTATTTTTTTTGATAACTTTGGCCAGTTACGTTACTTTTTAATTACTTATTTGAAAATAAAAAATTAGCCACCTGTTATTTTTTCATTTTTTACTTATTATTATACTATAGGTGTACGAGCGGTTCAAGGTCGATTTGCGTTCGTGAAAACTTCGCAAAGTTTAGTGGGAAATTTGTATTCTCAATAACCGATTCGGCGTTGGCGCCTTCCAATACAGTAAAAGAAGACGGACCGCTGCACCGAGACGTTCTTGCAGTAGACGCTGTGGCTGCGCTGCGTGGGCGGCGGCGGCGGCGCGTCGGCGGCGCAGGCCGAGCACAGGTCGGGGTCGCACTCGCGCACGCCCAGGTAGCAGGGGCACTGCTTGGTGTTGCACGACGCCTTGCAGCGGCAGCCGGGGAAGCGGTTCTGGCCTGAGTTTCAGTTCTCATCGCACGGACTTTTACGTCAACATTGAGCAAAGAGGAATATCTTATTTTTTTACTTTATTTAAACTTAATTGCACGCAAAACAGTACAAATGGCGGACTTGATGCCATTAGGCATTCTCTATCAGTCAACTAGAGAGCTGGGTGCAAAATAATTAACAGGGGTGCATAATATGATAATTAAAACAGACAGGAAGAAGTTTACAAATAATTATGATATATATTGTTTAAACACAATATAAATATAGCACATAGTATTATATGACTAACTATACTCACATAAGCAACCTATATGCACGTAAATACATAATATATAATACATACACATATATATTTAATATACATATTTATATATAACAATGTCAGACTAATGGGATGTAGATTGAGACTCCAATATGAAATCGCGGACTAATTGCTTGAAAGCTAGTTTATTCGGCGCTTGTAATATGGGGCGGTAGAGCGTTCCAGAGTCATATTGTCTGAAGAGTAAATGAGTTAGAAAAAAAACCAGTACGGTGAGAAGGAATTAAAAGAGTCAATATGCTGTCTGAGCGAAGATTGCGACTATGGGATGCACCCAAATATTGAAATTCACATTTCAAATATCCAGGTGCACATTTATCATATGATAATGATATAGTAAAGAGTGGAAAGTATTCTCAAATCACGACGCTGGCGAATCGTAAGCCACTTCAGCTCATTGCGACATGCGGACACGTGATCAAACTTTCAAAGTCCAAAAATAAAGCGAATGCAACTATTGAGCAAGCGATTCAATTTGTTGAGAAGTTCCTGGGCGATATCAGCATAACACACGTCAGCATAATCAAGGATAGGAAAAATAGTGGCCTGTACTAAGAGGATTTTTATTGACGTGGTAAGAAAGTGTTTGAATTGGTAGAACGATCTTAAGGTACCAATGATCTTCTGACTAATGGAGTCAATCTGAGGTTTCCAGCTTAACGTACTATCAATGTGTAGTCCTAGACACATTCACAACATGAGGTGCGAATACAATCATTATAAGGTGTATCATTATAAGAAAGAGGCGCGACAGAGCTCATGTCCAACCTAGTCAAAGAATGAGAACTACCCACGACAATACCTTGGCACTTACTTGGGTTGACACTGATACCAAACTTACTCGACCAATCAGCGCTAGTATCGCATCATCCAGGCCTGCGCATATATTTGCAAATCATCTGCATACAGATGGTGAGAATTGTGGAGGATAGGAGAAATTAAATTGATGAAAACGGAGAACAATAGAGGGGAAAGAATTCCACCTTGGGGGACACCTGCCTCAAGGTCTAACCAATTAGACAAGGAGTCTTTAGCACGAACCGCTTGCTTGCGCCCTCGATCGCAGATAAGCAAGGATAGCCAGAAGGATATCATGGTCAACAGCATTGAATGCGTTAGAAAAACCAAGGGGGACTAATACCCTTAACCGTGAATCGACCGTTGTATGGGGTGTCCGGGGTATGCCTAAAGTATAATGTACTTAAAAGTAAATATATGATATTTGTGAGCGGGCGTAAGTATAACTTTGAATTACCTCAAGACTTGACGATGTAGACCCACATACAAGGTAAATAAATTTAAATATCTGGGGCACGTACTTACGCCTATCTCAAAGAAAATAGTGATATGGAAAGGGAACGTAGGGCTCTGTCGGTCAGGGCAAATATGATCGCACGCAGATTCGCAATGTGTTCGGTTGAGATAAAGGTAAAGGACGCTCTTCAACGTGTACTGTACTTCCCTGTGTAATCATTCATACACTCATGGTTGTATATTGACAAAAATGTTCTTTACCTTCCGTCCTAGTCGAAACTGTGTTACGGCAAAGTAAGATTATCACTCAAACGAATATAATTTCTTTACGAATTAATCATAAAGATTAGCATTATAGACTATTTATGAACAAGAAAAAAAAAAGATGCCGTAAACAACATAGGACATGCAAAGAAATCAGAAGCGCTGCTTAATGTTCTAAGAGTATATAAATCATAATAACGGATGAAATGTAAATTTCGGCAAACTCAGAACATGCAAGAGGAAAAAAATACTATATACTAGTATAGATAAATTAAGTAGATAACTTGGAAGTTAATCGACCCTAGTGATTATAATTGTAACGCAGTACTTACAGTCGCTGGAGCATTGGCAGAACTTCTCGCAGAAGTTCTGCGACTGCAGGCAAGGACACATGTTGTCGCACGGCTGGTTCGGGTGATCGCATGGCGTGTAGTTGTACCTGCAACCGCGCCATATTCAACTTCATTTATTATACTATAGACATTCGTTTATATTCCACAATACAGTAATTACACAGATCCTAACCAAAATTAGTTATGTATATTAATATTAGCGCGGTTGTCAATCACGCAGTACTATATAATAAGAAGTTGCAAAAATGGCTACAGTAAAGAGTAAACACAGGATTTTGTATCATATTTTCACTGAACAAATATATTGTGTTAACATATGTAGTTATCATTTAAGTGTTATTTTGTACACTTGTATAGTATTTAATTTATATGTAAATGAATCGTAAATATAAACACAAAAGCGAACATAATAATTAAATAGCTAACTGTCCTTTTTCTACACATTGCATGCGCAAAAGATGGAAAGAGACCCACTACGTCAATTTCAAGAAGCTTAAATAAACTTCTTGGTCATTTTCAATTGTTCGAAACACATATTTAGGACAAAGAAACTATAGAGTCGCTTTAATCTTATCTTTAAAATGATTTTTTATTAAACGTTAGCAATAACTAAGTCTGAAAATACATTTACCTGAAATAACGTTAACTGGAATTTTCATAATGTCAAATGTATTTTTTTAGGAATATTACAAAACAAAAGCTAATTTTGTCTTTGTGAGAATCAAAATTACTTGAAAGCGTAACGGTTTTATTATAAACCGGTTTTCGGAATTACGGATATTTGAGTTTACGTTTAGTTGAAATATCGATACATTTCTTATAGTACACGCTTATTTTAATATTTGTATGTATGTATCTGTCCAACTCTTTATTTTTTCTTTAAGTGAATTTGTATAAAATTCGACATAATAATGTATAAAAATTAATTAATACTTACAATAAAGGTGCTCCATTACACTTGTGTTCAAGTAATTTTCAGTCAAACCTAAATATGGCGCATTTTGTTAATTTTCTAGTAGAAAGTGAATATAGTGTTTTAGGGCCCTTAAATTGCTGCAAGCAAAATTAGGCAGTACTGCAATGACGTTACCATTCAAATTAAATGTTTTAGTTTTTTTTTTATATTTCGTTACATGTCACTACGTTTGTATAGGTTAACTTCGGACATTTTTTTCGTGATTCTTGTATTAGACCCGACGTCCATTTGTTGGTAGGTCAATGACTAGAATATATAAATAATAAAATTTGTCACGGAGATTAGGTAGTCAACACTAGTCCGAGAATGACCGAATAATGTAATTTGGAAACGGAATTAGAAAATGGGAAACAGAAAAAATAAACAATTAGTGAAAATATAGGAGAAGTGTACCTATACACGAGCAAAATTTTTATATTATTTTCTAAAATAAATGTAGAGAAATAACAGTAAACA